AAAAAAAAAAAAAGTGAGACTAGAGAACCATGATCCAGGTGGCAGGAGGGGGAGACCCAGAGGAGGGAAAATTTGATTTCCTGAGAGATCAGGAAGCACTCCATGGGGGAGGTGGCGCCTGAGAGCCTTGGAGAATGAGTAAAATTTGGCAGATGTTGAAAAGGATCCTGCAGGTTAAGGAGCAGCATGAAGAAAGGCTTGGAAATAGGAATGGACAGGTTTGATTTCGCAAATGCAGATGTCTGGTGGGGTCGGAGCTTTGGGAGAGTAGCAAGGGCTCCATGGTGACCAGCAGGGTGTTCAGGGGCCCCTGAGGCATGGAGTCCAAGATAGAGGACACATCTGCCTGCCAGGGACTCAGCCTCACTTCCAGAATCCTGGCTTCAGTATCTCACTTCCTCCTCGCCCCTTACCCACCTTGGAAGCAGCCTCAGGCCACCATACCCACCACACCAAACCTGTCACCTCTTTCTCTGCATGAGCGCTGGGCAGAGCTAGCACCCAAGGAGCCTCACAGCATTCCCCACCACCCTGCAGACAGATGGCGCTGCAGCCCTTCCCAGACAGGCCTCAGCCAGACACCCCATCCGGCCCACAGCAGCCTCAATGTGCCCCCCAGCCATGAGCTCTGGGAAGTTGGGGTGGGTGGTTTGTCTGGGTCTCCAGCTCCCAGCACTGGTAGAGTTTGTGTCACGGACACAAAGAAATGAAGGAGGACATTCAAGCTACAAAAGGCTGAGAGTCTGACCACCTTATTTTATAGGTGAGGACTCGAGTCCAAGGGAAGGAAAAGGTCTCCCAAAGCCATAAGCTTGTTGGGAGTGTGATGTGAAAAAAGTAGCTTGATTTGTAACAGCACACTATTCACAGTAGCCAAAAAGCTGAAAAACCCAGACGTCCATCAGCTGGTGAATGAACAAAGACAGTGTCCTCTCCGTACTGTGGAAAATTATTCAGCCATTGAAAAGGAAGTACAGGGCTGGGGATTTAGCTCAGTGGTTCCAGTGCCTGTCTCGAAAGCGCAAGGTCCCAATTTCAAACCCCAGTACCAAAAAAAAAAGTACAGTACTGATACATGGTATCAGCTTGGGTGAACATAGACAACATTATGCTAACTGAAAGAAACCAGATATAAAAGGCTACATGTTGCATGATTCCATTTGTATGAAATAGCCCCAGTAGGCAAGTCCATAGAGACAGGAAACAAATCAGCATTTGCCAGGGGTTGGGAAGGAGAGGAAAATGGGAGTGGCTTCTGAGTTAGGTGTATGCAATTTCCTCTTGAGGTGATAAACGTTTTCTAGAACTAGATGATAGTGGTGGTTGTACAACATTATAATGTGTTAAATGCTACCAAATTGTATGTTTAAAATGAGGACTCTTATGCTGTCTGAATTTTGTCACAATTTAAAAATGAGAATAGGGTGGGACTAGATCAGATGCCACCAACTGAGTCTAATGTCCTCTTCCTGTTACCGACCTGCTCCAGCCCAGGAGAGGTGTGGGGAGTCCGTGCTACCTCTTGGTGCAGGGAAGCTGTGCAGACAGGTGAAAGAGGGTCCCCCGCACCCCCAGGAGACAGGGTTCCTGACTAGGCAGCTGCTTGCTCTCAGGCCTCGAGGCCCCATCTGCTTCCCCATCCCACTGACCAGCCTACTTCCCGTTCGTGCTTCTCAGATCTCCAGCCCTTGCTCTTACCATTTGTACTGCTCAAGGACTCTTGTGCTTGTATCCTACCATCCACTTGGAAACATCCTTTGAAAACCACCGCAGGGGACTTCCTTCCCCCGTCCCTCTCCGCAAACTGGGTTGACCCTCTGCGTGTGTAGACAGCGAAGGAAGTGCCAGGGTGAAATCACTGTCTCCTCTGAAAGACCGGAGCCTGTGAGAGGGCCCTGGCTCTTCCACCCTGTGTTCCTCGGGTGGCTCTGGGCCTTGCTTGCTGGAGGCCCTCGCCAGTGCTTGTTGAATGAGTCCCTTCATCTGTGGGGCTCTCTGGTTCTAAGGGCAACCGTAGAGGACCAGCCCTGTGAGTCGCTGCCTGATGACAAGGGCCATTTTTCTGCTCCTGTTGCCTGGCTGATAGAAGTGGAGGAGGAGGAAGAAAGGGAAGGAGCCTACAGCAATCCATTACATGCAGCTATTTCTGCGCCTGGCGGGCAGGGAGGAGGGCAGTGCCTGAGACTGGGCTTCTCTGTGCAGCTTGAATGGGCCTCTCTCCTCTCTGGAAATCTAGCTAAACCCTCCCCTGAACAGCCTAGATGTGCAGCTTTCGGCCGGGCACCTGGAATTGCTCACTCACAGGGCAGAGCAGCAGGCTCTTGCTCCATTTTCCTCTGCAGCCGAGAGGTGCTACTCTTTCTGCTTTTCTGCTTATGAAATTAGTCATTTTCTAGGAAGCTTATTTATAGAGTCCTCAGCACACACACAGCGCTGAGCTATTCTGAACTCGGCTGGGGGCCTGGGAGGCTTAAGATGTGAAAGCAGGTGTGAGTCACACGTGAGTCCCCTCCCGGGGTATCTGGACACTTTGCTTACCTTTGTGCCCCCCACCATTATGGGCTGCCCCCCTGAGGTCAGGAAAGCAAGCGCACAATTGGGAAGCTGGGGAGGCAGGTAGAAGCTCTTGAGCCCAGTCCCTGTGGCCACCAAAGTGAGACCCACTTTCTGTGCCTCAGTTTCCCCGGTGTGAAATGGGAAGCCTTCTAGTGATCCTCAAAGCAGCACCTGTGGGGGAAGTTTCCAAGTGGCTTTGCAAAGATCTGTGCACAAATAGCTCAAATGAGGGCTGTGTTTGAGGCTGCTTGTGTTTCTCCAGCATGTTGAGGCAACATTCGCTTATTGCACAAGTATTTATCTATTTATTGAACATCCTACTGAGAGCCGGGTACTGTGCTAGGCTTTGAAGATACAATGGTAAATAAAACAAAGACGGCAGCCCTTGACCACATGGAGCCTGTAGTCCAGTGGCTGAGACTGATGTCAGTCAGGCAATGGTATAAATTAAAATGGAATTCCCAGCCATATCAAGGGCTATGAGTAAAACGTGCTGGGAAGCCAAGCTAGAGGTGCCCTGCAGGCAGAGAGGGGAGCAGGTTCAAGGGCACTGTGAAGAAAAGAGCCTGTCCAGAGTTGCTGGAATGCAGAGGTGAAGAGAGAGAGACTTAGGTAAAGTTAGAGGGATAAACGGGCCCAGTCCGTGCAACAGCTAGTGAACTACATCCAAGGGTTTCTCTCTTTGTTCTAAGTAAATTAGGATGCAATGAAAATATATTTTCAGTGAATTTTGTGTGATAAATTTTAGTTTGAAGGGATGGACTACCTCAAGCCGGCTTCTTCCAGTTGTGCGGGTTGTAAACTGTATGACCTATGTAAACCATCCGCATTGGAGCCGGGTGAAGAATGTTTCAGCATCCAGCCTAAATGGGTGCCAGAGACCATGAAATAGAGAGAGCCCTGACAGGCACCTCCCCTAGACGTAATATCCCTCTCTCTTCAGGAAAGCTGGGCTCTGGGATTTGGGATTCTCAGAGATTCTTCCAAGTGGAATGAGGAAAAAATAAAACAATTCCATTGAGAGCAGAAGACAGGAGAGGGAGAAGAGTCACCCTTAACCTGGCCTGTCTGCCCTTAATTATTTAAAATCTGTGGTTGGGCCTGAAGTAGGCTCAGGACCAGTAGAGAGGAAGGACTGCAAGGCAGGGGGCCAGAGAGGCCACTGGCCTGCTGGGCTGCTTACAGATGCTGCACCAGGGTATCCCTGGGAAAGATGCTTTGGGTTGCCAGTTTCAGAATGCAGTGCCCCTCTCTCTCTCTCCCTCTCTCTCTCTCTCTCTCTCTCCCTCCCTCCCTCCCTCTCTCTCTCTCTCTCTCCCACTTCACTAAAATGTGGGGATTTTTTGGAAGCCTCCCAGGGTCCGTGCAGCCTTCCCCACAGGGCACCACACAGCTGTGATTGGGCACCAGCAGCCCAAGCACCAGGCCCTCAGAATGCATCATGAACTGCAGGGAGAAGAGGTGATGGGCCCAGCCAGGTTTGTGTGTCCAGCTTTGGCTCAGCCAGCAACTGCCAAGGGTCAGAGACATGAAGAGCAGGCAGGGCCATTTCGGCTCACGTCTGCATTGCAGACCCTTGCCAAAGTTGGGGACCCCTGTGGGCACCATGGCTGCCCTTGGGGAGCAGCGGCTCCATAAAAGAGAAAAACTGGACCCTAGGACTAGAAAGAAGGCTTTCTTATTTCAAAAAGAGAATATGTAGAAGATGCAAAATGCAGAAGATGCAAAATGCAGGTCAGGAATTTAGTTCAGTGGCACCACACCTGCCTTACAAGTCCAGGGTCCTGAGTTCCATCCCCAGTACCAAAAAAAAAGAAGAAGGTGCAGAATGCATAATTACTACTGTTCCTGGCTATTTCTGGAGAAGAGGTCTACATGCTACTTCCCGTTGCCTGAGGCACGGGGCACTGGCACATCTTGGGCACTTGGACACAAGAGTGTGTCCTGCCCAGACCCCTCTTGCTGTTCATCCATGGTTCAAAATGACATAACTAGGAGGCAGAATGCACAGCAGTCAGAGCCTGAGCCTGGAGTACTAGATTATAATTTCAAACCCAGTTCCAATGAGCTGTGTGACCGTAGGCAGATTACTTAAGCTCTCTGAGCCTATTTAATCCCTGGTTCATGGGGTCATGATGAGGACTCAGTATGCTGTACAGTGTGGTAAAGTTTGTAAAGTGCTTTGCACATTCTGAGCCCTCCTTCCATGGTAAAGAGGTCCATGGTGGTGGTGATGATTTTATAGGGAAGATACCTATAATTCTCCGCTCCCACCTTGCAGCTCGACCCTTGACAGGTTAGCATTTTCTTCAGGCCCCCCCCCAGTGAGGCAGGGTTACCCAAAGGGCCCCCGAGTGCATGAGAAGAAGGCCTTAACTCTTTGCTCGGGATATTGTCTTGATCCAGCTCAACAGCCTCCCCTCACATTTTCCCTCCTGCTGCAGGAGAGAGAGAGAACTGTGCCGCTGATGACTCCGCAGGAGGGGCCCCGGACATGTGCTGCAGTGAGAGGCTGTCGGGTGAGTCTTCCCAGTGCCCCAGTGCCCCTGAGCTCCCAGGGGACACTGGGGCTAGAGGAGAGCCTGACAGGCTGTCCACTTCCTGGAGGAACAATGCAGCTGCTCCAAGGTCATCATTTCTATGGAAATATGTTTTTCTGATCCCTGATGTCTTTCTGTCCTCTTATCATTGGGAGCCACTCTAGACCCATGTGGAGGAAGAGCAGGCAGCCCAGAGCATTCTGGGAAGTGCGGGCAAGAGGGAAGCTTGGCGGCCCAGGGCCGATAGGGACAAGGCCACTGGCTGGCAGTGTAGGGGACAGACCTCAAGGGGTAAGGGGGACACAAATCACATGAATGGAGCCTAAACCAGAAGGGCAGGGGATGCTGTGCAGAGCCACCCCCAGCACTGCCAAGAGCCCTGCTCACTGAGAACCTGCTGCTGCTGGAGACTCCGGGTGTCCACACTGGTGGGATCTGGCTGTCTGAACCCCCGGCCGTGGCGGTCACCATGGAGACATGAGTGAGGCTCCTGCCCAGGGCGGGCAGCGCATTCTGTTAGTTGCAGACCACATACCCAGGCCATGATGGACAGCCTCAGAAGGAACAAAGGGAAAGGGAAAGGGACTAAGATGAGATTTTAATTTTTCTCTTTTTATAAATGTTACCATTTTTTCATAAAAAATGTCCATTGTAGCAATATTAGAAAATACAGATGAGTGAAAAGGAAAGAAAAATCACTATGTTCCTATAGCTTAGCATACATTTTTAAATCTTTGGTCCCAAACATTTGGTTAAACAATAGCCCTTTGAATTCTAACCTTGGAAGTCTCAAACCTATCGCTTGTCAGATCTTTGTGATTGGTAAATCATATGACGGTCCACGTGACACTCTTTTAGATAGACATAGAAAACAAGCTGTAAGGGGGAGACATTTCACAGTAAGCAGGTATTTACTCACACTAGTGTCAACACCTGCTTCCTGATGAAACACCTCAGACATCGTGAGCCCTTTGGTGCAGTTCCCCCATTGCCCAGTAGGGGCGCCACGACTCATTTGGACAGCCTGTCCCGCTGCTCTGGACTGAGCACATCTACAGGAGTCGTCGCCATGGAGATCAGAAACATCTGGCTGGAAGAGAAGAATTCTCAGAAGGGATATGAGAGCTGTCTGAACATCTGAAAGGCTGTTGTATGAAGGGGGCAGATCTGTTGTTCGTATCTTAGGCTGATGACGCCAGCCCAGTACCTAGACGTGAAAGAGGCCCATTAGCCCACAGGATGTGTGACTTTCTGACTGTAAAAGTGGTCCAGTCATGGAACTTAATGATTCCAGAGGGGGAAAAAATGAGTGTTTCATCACTGGAGGCATTCAAGAATTGGGAAGATAGACATTGGAGAGGAAATTTCCACAGTGGGTGGGAGTCTAGATGACATCAAAAGTCCCTTTCAACTCTGAAACAGTTCTGTGAGTCAGAGATGAGTCATAGAATTCGGAGATGATTCTACAAGCAGGGACGGCCCCACTGGCTAGGGAAAAAATCCATGGAAAGTAGGACATGATGTATAGGAGTCCAGGGAGTAGCATGGGGTGGAGGAAAGAACATGGGGTTTGGCATCTGAGTCTGGCTGTTCTGCTTACAGCTGTGTGTTCATAGACAAATCACTTAACCTTTATGAACCTCCAGTCCTTCATCTGTAAATTGAAACAAAAGCAGCATAAATACTTCTTACAAAGGTCCTGAGGGAATAAAAAAAATAATCACTCAGTCATTCATCAAATACTTACTTATTGAGCACCTGCTATGTCTCAGGTACTATGGTAGGAGCCAGGGACTTAGTGGTGAATAAAACATAGTCCCTTCCTTAATAAAGGTTCGTGGACAAGTTCTGCTTTGAGCCACTTCTGAAAAATGGGATGAAACCACAACAGAGAGATAACAATAAGAAGCACAATGTGTTTAATTCTCTCTCCTGTTCCTCCCCCGAAGCCAGCAAACAATGTAGAATGGAAGCAGAGCATTAGTCATCTCCATTGAAGCTGGCACCTTGCCTTCCTTATACAATACCTCCAGGAAGCTAGAATGATTGCTACCCCCATCTTACAGATGAGACCAGCAAGGCCTGGGGAGGCTGGGCTTCCTATCCGAGATTACATAACTGGTTTTGGCAGAGGAGAGATTCAATCCAGGCAGTCTGCCTCCAGAGCCTGAGTGTACCTCTTCTACCTTCGCTGTCCCCATGGAACTACTGTTGTCTTCTGGTGCCCTGTGGACTGAGACAGAAAGAAGGAGTTTGGAGGAGGTAGACAATCTCACTGTGCCTGTCCCTTTCTGTTTCCTTCCTTTGCGAAGCCTTCTCTGCCAGAGGCCAAGGAAGATGTGTGCCCTCTAGATTCCCATGATGCCATCCCAGTATGGGCTTGCAGTCATTTTTTGTCCTCCATGGGACTGTGAGCCCTTTGAAGGCAAGTACCTCTCTGTTATCATATCCTGCATGTCCAGTACCTGTTCACTCATTTCTTCATTCATTCACTATTGAGCACCTAAATGTGCTGGGCAGTACTGTAAGCCCTGGAGATTCAACACTAACCTCATTGAGAAAAAACTCCCACCCTCACGGGACAGTATTTTATGTGCTGGGTAAGAGCAGGGACCCCAGACCCAGGCTTTGTTCCACCACTACCACTGGGGTGCTCCTAGGCCACCCATCTACAAAATGGCAAGAATAATCACTGCGCTGTAGGATTGTTGGAGGATTCAGTGAATTAATAAAGAGCTTCAAACTGGGCTTGGCATGTAGCAAGTGCTATATAGGCATTTGCTATTAAAGGAACCATAGGCAATAAATAAAATAAGATAGATAGTCGAGCAAATAGTGCTAAGCGTTGTAGAGAAAATTAAGAAGGGGCTGGGAAAGACTGGGAGGTAGTTCGGCACTGTAAGTATGTGGACCTGAGCCTGGTGTGGAGTAGGCTGCTGCCAGTGTTTGTCAGCCAGAGCCACTGACCTGAACCGCCTCCTGGACATAAAAGGAATGGAATTGTGTAGGCCAGGGGAGGTGAAGTGCTGAGCCTTTGTAAAGAGCCCATGGACACTGCAAGCAGTTGCATAAGGGAGGTGTAAAAATACAGCCCCTGAGTCCTCTCTTCCCCTCCCCGCTGCCTTTCCCACTGGGTAAGATGCAGGCAGAGTGAGGGCCAGCCATGCCTGGGTGACTCATTCATTCCCACACACACCTCCGGGCAGGACAACATGGCCAGGACTCCCAGTCATGGTCACCCAGACCTGAGCCAGCCTCAGGTGGGTCACAGTCCTCTCAGATTGAGCTTTCCAGAGTGAAAACATCCTCAGGCACCGCAGCACCCCCAGGCAGCTCACAGCCTCCCAGAGCAGGTGCACTGGCTCACACACATGCACGTACCCACACAGTCACCAGGCACGTAGCCTGCCTCTGTCTCACGGGGCCCTGTGGGGGCAGACACACACTTCCAAAGGACACGCACCTGCAGGTCTCCTTCCTTTTGCACGCTCAGCTCTCTCAGCACCACTCCTCCATCCTCCTGCTTCCACCATGCTTGCTTCCTGGACGTGGACAGACTCGCTGGTGCTCTCCTTCCCTCCTTAGGTCTCTCCCTCTTCCCTTCCCCCGTTACAGCACCCCCACCTCACATGCATGCACAGAAGCTGGGATTCTCTGTCCTCGTCCCAGGCCTTTAGTCACACACACTCCCAGGTCCTGTTGCAGGCACTTGGTGTATATGCACTGCCTTCTCCACCCCTTGCACACACACAGTTCTCTCTTCCTCACGTATGCGCTCATTTTCAGTCACCCTCCTTTGCTCCTCTTTCACTCTACCTTACTTCTTGCTCACTTACTTGCTCACTGTCACCCAAACACATTGGTATATTCAAACTCACTCCCCCTCGTCTGTGTGTAGGTTTTCACCTTTGCAAGAAAGCAAGCAACTCTTGTGCCCTCTGCTCCCCCACCCCCGTGGCCAGCATCAGCCTGGGACCCAGCCTGAGATACAGGGAGGCGGTAAATAGCACTAGGCGCCGCTGATGACCAGGACATGGAATAGAGCCATGTCGCCAAGTCTTGCCTTCAGTGTCTCCAGCAGGCAGATTCATGGGCAGGCAGCACCCAACATTTACAAGGACCAGGGCTCAGCCACAAATGAAGACTCTGTGGTAAACTACCCCCTGCTCAGTCCTGCCATGCAGAGGCCCCTGCATGCATGCATGTGGATACGTCAGTCTGTATTTAGGCGTAGTCTACAACCCGAGCTAGTGGCTGCCCTTTGGCTCCCTCTCAAATACAAGTGTACCAACACAGGATACAGTGTACCCTTGCTCAGAAGGATTTTCCTGGGACAAGACCAATGAGGGCATCAGGCCATTTGGCTGGGGAATTCTGGAGTCCTGGTAGCCAGAGCATGGCCTGGAAAGGGCATGAATGCTAGGGAGACATTGAATCTAGATGGGGATACCTCCTTGTAGGAGGCCTTGTGGAAATCTCACCCCGTAGGGAGTGGCAGGACCAGAGGAGGGGAGTGCAGGGCTCAGGTCAAAGGAAAACACTGAATTTTTTTTGGGGGGGGGACTAGGGATCGAACTTGGGTCCTTGCACTTGTGCAGCAGGCAGCAAAACCACTGAGCTAAATCCCCGGCCCCAACAACACTGATCTTAAGAGTAGAGGATTCCCAGAGTCCCCTTACAGCTGGCAGCTGGCTGCAGTCATGCTGTCCCTGCCACCCTGAATTTTAAATGTGTCACAGTCACTGGGCTTATTCAAGGTTTTGCATATATAGGACGTTGCCCTTTTAGTAGGAACAGGGGACTTCTTGGGCTGGAGGCTCTGGGCCTCATTCTACACCTTAAATCCTGGTGCCTTGATGGGCTGGGGATTTAGCTCAGTGGTTTCGACGCCTGCTGCGCAAGCGCAAGGACCCAAGTTCGATCCCCGGTACCAAAAATAAAAACCCTGGTGCCTTGAAGGTTGCCCCTAGCCAAGCCCA